GGAAGGAAGGAAGGAAGGAAGGAAGGAAGGAAGGAAGGAAGGAAGGAAGGAAGGAAGGAAGGAAACAATAATGTTGAGATCATGTAGAGTGAGTCTGCTAAGTGCCCAGGGTTGGTATAGGCAACGAACATGGCACTGAAAACAATAGGTCATAATTTCTGGCCCCTGGAGTTCTTCTTACAGTCTGATGAGTTAAATGTAGGTCAACACATCGAATGTATGTAAGACAGAATCGTATTTTTATTAAGATTAAAGTATTTTTGGTTACTATTGAGCTGTGGCATACTTTAAAACAATGGTTCTCAATCAGTGTGTCATGACCCCTTTGGAGGTTCAAATGATGATTTCACAGGTTTCACCTAAGACCACCCAAAACCACAGATATTTTCAACACTAGCAAAATTACAGTTATGAAGTAGCAACAAAAATAATGTTATGGTTTGGGGGGGTTATTACAGCATTAAGGACTGTATTAAAGTGTTGCAGCATTAGGAAGACCCAATAACCTAAAGACTTTTCTATCAGCCAACTACACAACTCTGAAGACTCCCATGCCAGGCAAAAGTACACCCTGTCATACCATCGGACCTTTGCAGTATCCCCCACAACGCGCTGCTTCCCCACATCCTGTGCTTCACAGATTCTACTCTCTTCCACTTCCACCTTTATTTTTCTTTGTTATTTTCCTCTCCCAACAACTTAACACACGTATAAAGCCCTCTGAAATGTTTTATGTAAGCAGGGCTGGTGTTACGCGTTTTAGAGAGCTACGACAATATAACAATCATAATTAAGACTAAAATAAGAACTTCAGCAAAGGACAAACATTCTGAAAATACTCTCAGTTTAAATTAAAATCCCAAACATATCACGCAGATAAGTGAGAAAGACAGCAAGAAAGAAAATCCACACACAGAGTTGCACACACATGCAACTTAACTGCCGCAGAAAACTCAGTTTTTTGGAGGAGTTCACACATATTTTCTATACTTTAAAAGATGTGTGTCTGCACCTGGTATATACTCACTTATAAGTGGATATTAGACATATAATGTAGGATAAACATACTAAAATCTGTACACCTAAAGAAGCTAAGCAAGAAGAGGACCCTGGGTCAGATGCTCAATCTTCATTCAGAAAGGCAAACAAGATAGATACGTGAAGAGGGAGAAAAAAGGAACAGAACAGGGCCTACCACAGAGGGTCTCTGAAAGACTCTACCCAGCAGGATATCAAAGCAGATGCTAAGACTCATAGCCAAAATTTTGCAGAGTTCAGGGAATGTTATGAAAGAAGGGGAGGATAGAAAGATTTGGAGGGGACAGGAGCTCCACAAAAAGAACAACAGAACCAAGAAATCTGGGCCCAGGGATCTTTTCTGAGACTGATATTCCACCCAAGGACCATGCATGGAGATAGCCTAGAACCCATGCACAGATGTAGCCCATGGCAGCTCAGTCTCCAAGTGGGTACCCTAGTAAGGGGAACAAGGGCTGTCTCTGACATGAACTCATTGGCTGGCTCTTTGATCACCTTCCCCTGAGGTGGGGGGGCAGCCTTACCAGGCCACAGAGGAAGACAATGCAGCCAGTCCTGTTGAGATCTGATAGGCTAGGGTCAGATGGAAGGTGGGGAGGACCTCCTTTATCAGTGGACTTGAGGAGGGGCATAGGAGGAAAAGAGGGAGGGAGGGTGAGATTGGGAGGGGATGAGAGGATACAAAATGAATAAATTGTAATAAATAAAAAAAGAAAAAAGAAAACATAACAATATAATATAATTGTAATTGAGTAGAATTTATTTTCCTACATGTACTTTAGTGACCAATATGTATTGTTATTTTTCTCAGTTTTAAATGTTATTATGCTTATAAAATAAAGAAATTAAAAACATCAAAAAAAGATGTGTGTCTCTGGATGTGTCCTTGTTCATGTCTGTGTTTGTGTCTGTGTGTCAGTGTGTGTGTGTGTCTGTGTGTGTGTGTCTCTGTGTCCGTGTGTGTGTGTGTATCTGTGTGTCTGTGTGTCCGTGTGAAGGTCAAGACAACTTGCACGAGCC